TATGACGGTGTAAATTATACCGGGCTATTTTCCGTAAAAATATAAGCCTAATAAGCGAATTAGGGTTGAAGAAACGAAGACGGTATGTTTCTTTTTTCACAATTTCGATTTTAATTTAACAAAATGGAAATTTAACTAATCTAATCTCATTAAAGAGGGGGGGGCAAAAACGACTGCTCATATTCTGAGAGCGAACGTGAGCACTTTCGACTTCTCCTTTAATATATAAGATGGCTCACGTCGCTTCAATAGAGAAAAAAAAAGAGGCCACGTTATTTTGAACAAAAACCCTAAAAATGTTATGTTGATATAATGATTTTAATGTCAAGTATGGTAATTGATTTAAACAAGTCTGTCATAACAAGGAAGAAAAAACTGTGACTATTGTAAATCTTATTCTACTTATAAAAATCAGCTAGAAAAAAAAAAAAAAACTGTCATCAAAGAGATTCAAAATTACAAATCTGTCGTAACATGAAACATTATACAGGTCATTCTAGAAATTTTATTTTTCCTTAAACAAATCTGTTATCAAACGACAAATTTGTGGTAATATAACTTAATCTGTCACAACATAAAACAACTCTGACATAACATAAAACATTATATTTGAAAAACAAATCTGCTGTTACATGACAAATTTTTGATAACATTATAATAATCTGTCATAACATATAACAAATCTGCAATCATTAGACGTCATTCTAGTTATTAATTTTTAGTTAACAAATCTGTTACAACATAACAAATTTTTTCAAAACTTATAAATCTACCGCTTCATACAAAATAAATCAGCCAGACATTACAATAAGTCTGACACAAATTATGAAAGTCCGTGGTTGAATAAAAAAAATCCGCTACAATTTTTTTAGTCTGTCGCAACCATATTCTAAAAAATCTGTAAACTAAATAAGTCTGCCCCAAAAAAATCTGTCACGGTCAAAGAAGTCTCAATATATAGATTAATCTATCACAACTAGACAACAAAATTTTATAAAATTGTTGGAATTAATTTTGAAAGGCAATTTTGTATTTTATTTGTTTTACATATGTGACAAGAGTATTTTAGACATGAAAATAAACCAATTAACCCAAAAAAAAATTGAGACAATTTAGTAATTAAACTCATAATTTAGGTTAATCTAATAACTTTCCAAGTAAAATCCTTCAAAACTGGTTGGCTTCAAGGCTTGAATTGAATGTTGATGTATTTATTATACAAGTACTTTTTAATCGTTTAAAGAACAAAAACACAAAGAGGTTTAACACGTAAACGGATACAAAAAGGAACGGAACAAGAATTATGCCCACTCTAAGGAACACGAAAGCATTGGCGTGTAAAATTATTTTAAACAAAGAATTTCAAAAAACGAATTAAATAATAATAAACATTTTAAATCCGTCAAAAAATCTTCACCCGCCACTGAACCATGAAGATCCTTCTCTAATTCCTATCGCCGGATCTGCAAAAAAAACCACACATCAATCAATGGAACAAGATCCGATTCTATCTCCATCTCCATACGATCTTCTCTTCCAAGCTCTCTCACTAATCCCAATTCGTCACTACCTCATCGCTCTCTTCCTTCTCTGTACCATCTTCTTCTACAATTTCCTCGAATTTCACTTCCTTGGAGATGCGATTCTTCGATATTTCAGATGTCGCGTCAATCTCATTTATAATCCAGATTCTCCTCTTTATCACGGTGTTGTTTCACGGTGTCGGATTCTTCACGGCCGGTGAGTGTGTACTTAGATTTTGGGGGAAATTTGTGGATTCGGTTTCTGATTTTTTTCGATTTTTTTTTCAGATATGTGGCGACTCCGTGGTTAGCGAGTCCTCATATTCAGACTTGTTTCTTGAATTTTCATGGATTGCCTCCAGTTTTCAGCTATAAAAGGTGATTTGGCTTTTTTTTTTTTTTTTTGAGTCACAAATTGTAAATTATTCGTTGTTTGATAAGATTCTTGCATTGTTTCAGGCAGCTATTTCTTGCTTCAGATGGTGGAACGATTGCATTGGATTGGCTTACGAATTCTGATGGTAAAAGATTTAGTGGTTGAGAACGTTGATTTTGTTAATCATTTGTTTTGTTTTTCGGATCTTTGAATTTGTGTTTGATTTGTGGTAGTTCTTGATGGTGATCTTCACAATCAGAGTGAAATTACAAAAGAAGATACAACGCCTATTGCAGTTATTATTCCAGGGTTAACTAGTGATTCTTCATCTGCAGTAAGTCTAGTTTTAAATCTCTTATCTGGTCCAGGACTGTTCTTTAATGTCTAATTGACATGTATTGGTGATTTTGTAGTATTTAAAGCATCTTGCTTACAACACTGCAAAAACAGGTTGGAATGTTGTTATTAGCAACCATAGAGGATTGGGTGGTGTTTCTGTTACTGTGAGTTTCATAGAGGATTCTGTTTTTCATGTTCTACACGTTGTGCTTACTTATATACATATTTTTCTATAATCTTGTAATGTTGCAAACGAATGCAGTCAGATCGCTTCTATAATGCTGGATGGACAGAGGATATAAGGGTAGTTCTTGGTTATCTTCAACAGAAATACCCGAGGGCTCCTCTCTTTGCTATTGGAACTAGCATTGGAGCAAATGTTCTGGTACTAAATCAGAAACCTCAGTATTTTACTTAGTTTTTGAATGATGTTTAAGTGTGAAGATTTTCTTGTTTTTCATGGACCTTCTGTTGCATATTGCTCTGTTGGCTGCACCATAAGCTAAATGCAAAAATAAAAAGATTTCAGGCTAGAAGAGTAGCTTGCCTATTTAGATTTTTCAAATACCATTGATATGCATGAGAAAGTTCCTTAATCTATCTAATGCTTCAGGTCAAATACCTTGGGGAAGAGGGGGAAAAGACTCCTCTGAGGGGTGCTGTAGCTATTTGCTCTCCATGGGACCTCTTGGTGATCTATTTTTTTATAACTGTCTTCTTCTATTGATTCGTGTCTTAAGTTCTCTTCATTGGGTTCTAATTTTAGACCTTTGAACTTGTAAATAGTACTAAGGGTTTCGTTTGATACAAGTTGATGCTTGATACATTATGTTTTTTCCTTCCCTTTGTCTCTTCCCAACAAGATTGGTGACAGGTTTATTTGTCGGACGTTGAAACAAAAGCTCTACGACAAAGCTCTCACCATCGGACTCCAAGGTTATGCCCAATTGTATGTCCACCACTTTGGTCAAGAACTGCCTAGATTTTGAGTTTGTAAGATGGGCTGAGAGGAAATATTTCCGATTTACTACTTTGAGAAGATCAGGTTTCATTTATAACTTTTAGTTTCATTGCAGGCATGAACCTCAGTTTTTACGGCTTGCTAATTGGGAAGGCATCAAAAAGGTTAGTAGATTAACCACAGACCCATAAGTTATACAGTCTACTTGGTAGATGCAGTGAAACAAGCAGAGTTCTTGAGCAAATAACTTACATATTTCTTTCGCTATCAACGTTGTCTGTTGATGCCCGACTTTATTACTTCATCAGTCACGTTCCATCCGCGATTTTGACAACCATGCTACCTGTCTAGTTGGAAAATTCGAGGTATTAGTTCTCCTCTGTATTATCTTAACTTCTGATGTTAGTTTTCCCCCAGAATTGGCTTTGTAATTGATATATTCATCTTTGCAATGCTCTTCATAATCACCATTAAGTTCTCTGTTGGTTTAATAAAGTGACAACGGGTTGCCCCTATATGCAGACTGTGGATACGTATTACCGAAAATCGAGCAGTACTCAATACGTAGGAAATGTGGCGGTGCCACTACTCTGTATAAGTGCTCTAGATGATCCATTATGCACAAAGGAAGCTATTCCCTGGGACGAATGCAGGTAAGATGCTATGATCTATCTCTTTTAAATCTTAAATCCTGTTACAGCGATTAATACGAAGTTTCTATTGAAAGGGCAAACAAAAACATTGTATTGGCTACAACAAACCACGGGGGACATCTAGCGTTCTTCGAAGGATTAACTGGATCTAGCTTATGGTTGGTATATCTCAGATTGTAACTAATAATAGTACTTCCTGTTTTGACTGCCTATATATGTTGTGTACAGGTGGGTTCGAGCCACCAACGAGTTTCTTGGCGCCCTTAGCTGCAGTCGTTATATGCATATACAGAAAGTAAAGTCTCCTTGTTAGGATTGCAATTTAAATTATTTAACTGTTCTCTCTATTGTTTCCATCCTAAGATTATCAAAATTTTGCAGATTGAAGATAAAAGAAGCTCAGGGTCAAGGAAACAGGAGCCTTCGATAAACCAAGGCCCGTACCTAAACATTGCAGAAGACGGGTTGGTTGCAGCAGTCAAGTACGAGAAAGACACCAATAAGACCACATCGAAGCAGAGAGGACCAAAGCCTAAGGAAGATGTAACAAAGAGAAGCTTTAAGGAGCTGTGTAGGCAGACAAAACGGTCCGTATGGTGGCTTGCTTACATAGGCGTGGTTACAAGTTTCCCTTTACTTGGGATGCTCCTAAACTACATCTCCCGTAAGAAGCAACGACCCACAACAACATCCAAATCCTAAAGTTGCTTCTCTTCTATCATATTTTTTCAATTATCGATATTTGATAGGTTAATAATACTCTTAACTATATATTATAAGAACAGTAATTATGTAGTAGTGCACATGGATTCTTGTATTCGTTTAGTGTTGGTGGGATCATCAAGTGATTTGTTGTTAAAAGAGAGAGAGAGAGATATAGACTCCATTAAAATATTTCTCTCAAATCAGTCTTTTTCAATCTCTCTCTCTTTGAAAACTGATATTTTTAATCGAAAATCAAATTATTTGGTTTTTTTTTTTTTTTTTTTTTTTCATCATCAAAAAAAAAAAAAAAAAAAAATGATATTCACCGTTACATTTCTCAATGGCATAATCGTAAACAAACGTGAAACCCAAGGGTATTATGGGAAGACGGCGTTTTTCTTTTTTTTTTTCCTTTTTATTTTTTTCCTTTATTCTGGCAACTTCGAGAGCATTAAGCAGAAGAAACTTGTTAAAAACTTGGCGAGACGCGTGAGAAAAAGTTGAGAATTGGAATCGAAGAAGGGATAGGGTTTTGGTTACTTGGAGAGTGTGAGTATTTTAGTTACCACCGTCGTTTGCGATTTCAAACTTTTTTTTGTTATACCGGTGAATTTGAGTAGACAGACAATGGAAGAAATAAGATCGGCGATGGAGAAGCAAATGGATCTCGTAGCGGATCTGGTTGAGAAACTCTCCGGAGAGCTCCGAACGGGGTTCCAACCTGCTTACGATAATTTCTTGGGATTTTTCCACGCCATTGATTGGAAGGTAATGAGAGAATCTGTTCTTCGTATTACATCAATTGGTCTTGAGGATTTTGGAATCACAAGTCTTGAATTCATTTGATTCTGTGACAATTTGGGATTCCAAAAACATTGTTTAGCTTCTGATTTTTGTTTTGCAGGAACCTTGGATTATGGGTTTAATGGCATTTCATGCTTTGTTGCTACTGGTTACTCTTCTTTCTAGAAGGCATCTCAACTTCCATATGTTTCTCTTCTTATTGGCTTGTAAGTGTTCCCTTTTAAAACTGTTGAAGAACTTTGTGTCTCCTAGTCTATGTAAATTGTAGACGCTTCTCTGTAGTAACACTTTTTAGTCAAATATTGCACAACAAGTCTTTCTGACTTTGGATCTTATTGAGCTCTCCTGTGGGTTCTTTTATTGATCCAGTGATCTCACTATGCTAGGTTTGTGGCATTCATAGTGAATCAAGGGTTTGAGAAGCTAGTTCTGAGTTCTGACATTTCTGCTTTGCAGCTCTAAATTTGATGTACTTGGCTCCAGATTATGATTGAATGCACTAGGCGTTTTTTTTGTTGTTGAGTACAATAGAATTATCGGGTCATCTAAGGATCCATGGCTAGAGAGTCACACCATTCATATGGAGAAATGGTTTGCATGGGTTTTATGAGTTAGTATGCTAGAGAACTTTCGGATACAATTGTTGTTTTAAAGGAAAACTGAAAACATGAAATTCATTTGGCTACACCACATCTGTTTTCTGATGTGAGTTGGTCATTGCTTCTATTCGAGTATATTTTTGCTTAGTATACGTTATTGAGACTGATGATGTGACAAAAAATTTGCAGTGGCTGGGGTATACTTTGCAGAGAATCTCAACCGGGAGTTGAGAAAAAACTGGAAGAGCTTCTCAACTCAAAACTACTTTGACTCGCAAGGAGTCTTCCTATCGGTTCTCTGGTCTGGACCACTTTTGGTCATTGCTATGATAATCCTGGTATGTCTTCAGCAATGCCCCTCCCTCTTTCCCTTCTGCTCATAATATAAAAGAATCTACTGGTTTCATGTGACAGATTTTGTTAGCAGTGAATAAATTGTTCTCAAGTACATCCTCGACTTAGATTGTTTGGAAAACACAAAAGATGTATTAAAACATACTCTGGTTGAACAGACCATAGTCCTCCTGTTTTTATATCCAGAAATAAATGGTGAACCTTAGGAAAGAGAAGTTGAAATCAGTAGTTTGCTAGCATGAATTAGACCCATGTCTGAGAAATCGAGTGTTTGTTTCATGTTTGAGTTAAGAACAATGGCATGTGGTGGTTTTAAGCATCTTTATAATCCTAAAGTGAAATCAAACTGATAATCAGTCCATCACTTGGTTAGGATCTAAACGAATTATGTATAATGAATGTGGAAAATCTGATGGAGGTGTTGTGTTTCTGACAGATAAACACACTGTTTTCGCTTTGCTACCTAATCGTAAAGTGGAAAAGAGCTGAGCTCAGGCATCGCGCAAGGCTTGCTCGTACCAAGGAGGAATAGATCCCACTTTTTTATATCTCACATTTATGTATACTCTCACTTTGCAACAAACTGTTTTGAGGTTTTTAGTAGAAGGCTAGAAGCTGCTCTTTCTATGTATCTCGTGTTTAATTGAATTGAATTGTATCAAAACCGAACCAAACCAGATTATTCTACTTCGGTTTGTTATGGTAATGTTTTGAAACCCCGAATTGAAATCGAAACTATGGTTGGAGAATCCTAACCGTGGTTTTGAATTATTTGGCATGAAAAAAATTGTAGAAAAGCACATAAAATATAAATAATGGACGACCATTAATGTACCAAAAATGAAATGAAAATTCATGTGTTTAACCAAACTAAATTTGAATTAATTAAGGATTTAATTTGGTTTAATAAATTTGAAATTGTCTTAAGAGATGACACAATTAGCCGTTACGAGTAAATAGAGAGAGAGGTCGTCGGATTCAACAACGGACTCTTTTTCAAAATCAGAAAGAGATAGAGAGAGAGAGAGAAAGAGAGAAATACTCTAGAATCTGGGTCTCTAAATCTTCTTCTTCTTCATCTCCTTCGTTTTCGAAAATCTCTTACTCGTTCGATCTTAAGACTCATCCATGGAGGTCAAGGAAGAGAAAGTGATGGAGGAGGAGCAACGAGTTCCGGAGAAGACGATTCCCGTGTTCACCGTGCTTAAAAACGGCGCGATTCTCAAGAACATCTTCGTTGTGAACAGTCGCGATTTCTCGTCGCCGGAGAGAAACGGTTCCACTGTAAGCGATGATGACGACGAAGTAGAGGAGATTCTCGTCGTCGGTCGTCATCCAGATTGTGATATTCTTCTTACGCACCCTAGCATTAGCAGATTCCACTTAGAAATCCGTTCGATCTCTTCTCGTCAGAAACTCTTCGTCACGGATCTATCCTCAGGTATAAATCATCTTCGAATTCAAACGAATTTTTGTTATCTGCAATTAGATTGTTAGTACTGTGGAATTGGGTTCTCGATTCTATGCGTTTTTGGTTGTTGATTGGATTTGGTTTTCGATTTAGTGCATGGGACTTGGGTTAGGGATCTGAGAGTTGAGCCGCATACTTGTATCGAGGTTGAAGAAGGTGATACGATTAGGATTGGTGGTTCAACAAGGATCTATAGGCTTCACTGGATTCCTTTGAGCCGTGCGTATGATATTGACAATCCGTTTTTTTCACCACTTGATGCGTCTACGGTAATGGAGCAAGAAGAAGAGAATAGAATGATTGAAGCAGAGAATCTAGAGGTTGCACAACATCAGGTTCGAGTTTCACTCATATGTTTCTTGCTTTTAGTGTTTGAAACGTGCTTATAAGTCCCTCTCTGTAGTGTACCTTTGTTGTTAATTTAGCTGTCCTTAGTTTGGTTTAGTTTCTATACTTATCTGATCTTATTTGCTTAGCCTGATAGTGTAATCTGCCTTCACTGCAGTCACTAGAGAATACTGCATCAGGTGATGATGGGGATATACATCTGGATGTGACTTCAGAAGGAACTGGATCATCAGTCCTTAGTGAGGATGAGGATGAGGATACGTATGTTACGACAAGGGAGATGTCGTTGCCACTTGCGTCTCCAAATGTTTTGACACTAGCTGGAGATTCTGTCAAGACAAAAAAGATGCAATTCGATGAAGATTTGCAGACTTCGCCAAAGTTGGACTTAGATGTTATGGAAGCTGTAGGAGAAAAGCTAGGTAGCAGCTTTGTCCCAAGTAAGGAGCAGAGTGATGGCTACGTGGAGGGATTAGGTTGTTCTGAACTTTTTGTTGCTGAAGAGGCCGATGAATGTGATGTCAGAGGAGATGGAAGTTTGCATCTGAATGTGATATCAGAGAGGATGGAATCATCAGTGCCTAATATGACTGAAGCAGAAAATCTAGAGGTTGCACATCAGGTTCGAGCTTCTCTCATATGTTTCTGGCTTTTAATGTTTGAGACATTGTTTTAATTCCCTCGCTGCAGTGAACGTCTTTGTTAGTGTACCTGTCCATACTTTATTTGTCTGGTGTTATTTGCGTAGCCTGAAAGTCTTAACTGATTTCACTGCAGTCACTAGCGAATACTGCATTAGGTGATGATGGAGATCTACATCTGGATGTGACGTCAGAAGGACCTGGATCATCAGTCCTTAGTGAAGATGAGGATATATATATTACGACAAGGGAGATTTCGGTTCCACTTGCATCTCCAAATGTTTTGACACTGGTTAGAAATTCTGTCAAGATGCAAAAGCTACAATTCAATGAAGATTTGCAGCCATCAACAATGTGGGACTTAGATGTTGTAGAAGCTGCAGCAGAGAAGCCAAGTAGCAGCTGTGTCCTAGGTAAGCAGCAGAGTGGTGGCTACGTGGAAGGATTAGGTTATTCTGAACGTTTTGTAGCTGCAGAGGCTGATGAATGTGATTTCAGAGTCAGAGGAGATGGAGGTTTTCATCTGAATGTGATGTCAGAGAGGATAGAATCATCAGTGTCTAATGAGGAGGAGGATCCCTTTCTAGCTGAAAAGGAGACTTCATCGCTTCCACTCTCAACAGATTCCATTAATCCAGAAACACTATGGCTCACGGAAGATGTTCAGGCTTCACCAGAGTTTTCCACAAGTAGTTTAGAAGCCAACGCCGAAAATCTTAGTGGCAGCTGCTCCCCAAGTAAGGAGCAGATTGATGGCTGCTTTGAAGCCTCAGGTTGTTCTGCATTTGAGTTGGCTGCAGAGGTTGAGATTCTGAGCCTTCATCGAGAAGTCAGTGAAGAAACTGAGTTTGTCACAAAGGAAGTAATGGGAGTATCTGCTGAACCACTAGCTAAAGCTGATATTCTGAGTCACGAAGAAAATGGAGAAACTGAGGGCTCAAGGCAAGTTATTGAAGTATCCCCCAATTCATTTTCTCAAGCTGAGCCAACTTTAGAAACTTTAACTGGAAAAGCCCAAGGCCGCGTAGGTTCTGAATTCCTGAGTGGAGTTGCAGTAGAGACTGAAAGTGAGAACCTACTACTTCAAAAGAGCATTGGAGAAACAAAGGCTGAAATTCGGAGTCACAATGACTATAAAGAAACTGAGTGCTCATGTCCAGTTATTGCAGTATCTCCCAGTTCCGTCTCTGAACCTGAGCCAACTTTGGAAGTTTTAACTGATGAAGCTCGATGCCTCCTAGGTTCTGAATTCCTAAGTGAAATGGCAGTAGAGACTGAAATTGACAACCTACTACATCATAAAAGCAATGGAGAAACAAAGGCTGATATTCAGAGTCACGAAGACTATGGAGAAACTGATATCTCAAGGCAAGTTATTGCAGTATCTCCCAATTCCTTCTCTCAAGCTGAGACAACTTTAGAAACTGTGGTTTCAAGGCAGGAAGCCCGAGGTCTCGTAGGTTCTGATTCTGAATTCCAGAGTGAAGTTGCCATAGAGACGGAATGTGAGAACTTACTAAATCAAAAAAACAATGGAGAAACCAAGGTCAGTTCAAGGCAGTCTAGTGCAGTATCTGATTGTTTGTTCACTGGAAAAGATCGTCTTTCAAGTATCAATACAGAAGATATCCAAAGTCTATGCTCGAGTTGGCAGCCACTTTCTGAGAGTGAAGTCGGGGCACCATCTGAGATCAGGAGTGATGTGACTCCTGCAAGAGACCAGAATCAAAAATCAAGAATGGCCAGTGAGACTGAAAAGATATTTGATGATGGGAACAGCTCGTGCCTTTCTGAGGACCTTAAACAGAGTTGTACACAAAGTTTCTTGTCAAAACCAAATCAGAAACTCAATGCAGAATTGTTAATTGGCTCTGGGAGATCTGAAAAATATTACAGCCTAAGCGAAATAGAGAGCGGAGAAAATACTGACATTGGAAGACTGTCTAGGTGTCTAACTCCTTCGGCCTTGGCTGCAGAAACATTTGAGGATACAAAACCGATTGAAGAACTGTCTTCTGATGATACTGGAAGTCAAGAAAACCAGACCCCGCAAACACATGCTTTTAGAAATGATGTACTGTCTGAGATGGATAGCTCAAGTACATGCAACATTTGGTCTAGGAGGGGAAAATCTGCTTCTGTTCTTCAGATCCGGACCAAGAAGAGTCAAGGAAAGCAAAAACAAATTGGAAATCAACCAAGAGACAAGTTGCATAGAAAACAGGCTTTAAGTGACACTTATGACAAGGAGAATCTGACTGTTCATCATGGTGCAGAGAAACTGGAACCAGAGATCTTTACTCCTGACAAGGAGAATCTCACCCCAAGTTCTCATATGTTGAAAAGATTACAAGATATTGGTGACGTGAAAGATAGCAAGAGCTCTTCAAAGCTTTCTGGAAAATCATGCTCGTCACTTGTTCATTCCAGTATTGCTATTCTTGCTTCAGAGGCATTCACAGAACCAGAAATCTTTACCCCAGATAAGGAGAATCTTACCCCAAACTCTCATATGCTGAAACGTTTGCGAGAATTTGGTGATATTAAGGATACAAAAGGCTCCTCATCTAAAGCAACACGTAAACCATTCTTTGATATTCATTTGGAAGAAAATGTGATGGCGGAACAGAAACCAGAAGATCTACACAGCATGAGCAGCAAATCAAAGGTGAAGCATGAACCTCTACTTGAAAAATCTTCGTCCCAAAGTCAGTCATACACTGAGGCTTCTTCTACTGCATCAGCAAAGAACAACATTTCTAGGGGCATTCGTTCTTCTTCTGTAAGTCCCTACTTAACTCGATTGTCCTCTATTGATTCTTTGTGTACTTCTTATACTAAACATTAGTTCACTGTGTTTTAGATCCTTTCTGATGGAAAGAGCAAGATGAAGTGGACCATTGTTGTGGATACTTCTTCACTCCTCGACAAGGAGTCTAGGAAGCCACTGCACGTACTACAAGGTCTCAAGGGGACACATCTTGTCGTACCAAGAACTGGTAAAAATCCTACAAACCTTTATTCCTCTTGCTCTGTTTATTCTATCATACACCGACAATAGTTTCAATTTTCACCTAAAGCTCTAAATACAAACCATAAAATCATTTAGAAGTATATGCATACGAATATATCATAGAGATCTGGAAGACTTTCTATGTGATAACTTAAATTCTAGTCTTAGGATGCCAAAAACCCAATTTGCAGACCAAATCTGTTACTATTTTGTTTTTGGTAATCACTTTTGACAATCTTTTACCATTATAAACATGACTCACCTTTGGTTTCATTAATCAGTGTTAAGGGAACTAAATGAGGTGAAGCGCAGTCGTAGTTTTCTCTTCAGAAGAAGAACAGAGATGGCTTCGTCAGCTCTGGACTGGATCGAAGAGTGTAAGGTTAATACAAAATGGTGGATTCAAGTCCAGAGCCCATCAGAGGAAACCAAAGCAACTGCACCAACCCCACCAGTCACTCCTCAGTCAAATGGCTCAGCATTCCCATTTTCACTTCACTGGAACAACTATGCACCAGAGATCGATTCTCCTACATCAGAAGATCAAGTTCTAGAATGTGCTCTTCTTTATCGAAACCGTAACCGTGACGAAAGACTCGTTCTTCTTAGCAACGATGTAACTCTCAAGATCAAAGCCATGGCAGAGGTAATTTACAAGATTCTGTATTTTGAAACTAAGCACTCTGTGTAGTGTAGTAAATAACGGTTTGGTTTGAATTCTAGGGTGTGATTTGCGAGACGCCACAAGAGTTCTATGAGAGTCTGGTTAATCCGTTCTCCGAGAGGTTTATGTGGACAGAGAGCACAGCGAGAGGACGAACTTGGAGCTATTTAGACGATGTCGTGTTGAGAGAAAGGTACAACAACCGAGCTTGTAGGAAAAAGTCGACGTTCAATGGAGGAAGAGGAGAGAGTGGTGCAGCTGCAAAAGGCTTGAAACTCATTTTGCTCCATAACTCTCACTATGGCCACACTCATTGATGATGCATCATCATCATCATCATCATCATCATCATCATCATCATCATCATCATCTATCACTATAGCCATATTCAATGATGATGCATCATCATCTATCAACTATCATGTTCCTTCTTTCCAAGTAAGCCAAATAAAATTCTACTCGCTTACAAATGGTAACAGGGAATAATGTTTTTAGAATGAATGACACTTCTATAATGTGGCTACTATTTCTGTTGTGGAATTACGTTTGTCTTCCAACGGACCGTCACTTTACGAATTAGAGTAATGGATTAATCGTTAAGCTTAGATATCGACCACACAATTTTCCAACGTAATTAGCGAATTTAGTTACTCTTTTTGTGGTGTGGGAGGGGATGGAGGTAGTGAGTTCTCCACATTATGAAATTTTGATTATTAAACATTGTGGTAAAGTAGTAAAAGAATTTGGAAATGGAAATGGAGTTAAGGCTGTTAAATTAACGTAAACTAGTACTCTTGTAGATGAAAAACCAAGTTCTCTTAGCAATATCAACAACTATTCAGGTTCTATGGAAGAGCGAGCTGTTGTTTCTTCTAAGATGACCTCAAGATCGGAGTTGATCCAAAGTAGATAATGTAAACACTAGTAGTTGATAAAAAATCGACCCAAGTTTTTGTCCAATCAACATCACATAGAATACGTGCTAAGAATCACTTGGAAACCAAAAATCACATTTCTGTGTGAATTCTAGGCTTGGGCTTTGGCCCACGTAATTCACATGGTATTCTGGATTAGGCTAACTGGATATCTCTGACATTAATCGGAAAGCATTCCAAACTTGGGATTAGGCAGTGTGGTAGTGTAATCCAACACCTAGGTATTGGTGACGAGTCGACATGGTAGCACTTTGGTACGTTACTCCCAGGGCTGACCGTATCAGCCGATCGGGTAAAAAAAAGGACAGGATTGATATTTACCGACAAATTCTGTCATTTTGAGCTTGAGGTTAACAAAAAAAATCTCTTAGGTTGACAATTGTTTTTCTTTCATTTGGAAATATTTTCATCTTGTTTGTTTTATGGAAAGCCCAACAAAGCCCAATAGCTTTTATCTTCGGACCAGTTAATCGCAAGCTCGGAACGATCAGACGTTGAACCCTTCCACTCTTCGCCGCCGTTGAAACTCCGTTCACCTCTTCCTTCTCTTTCCTCCTCCTACTTCTTTATTCAAACACGAAGCGTTGTTGCGATTCCAAACTTAGGTTGAATCTCAATTGCGATTCCCAATTGGGGAATCTTTCGTCCTCTTGTTGTTCTATGGCTATATGGCGTATAATCAATCGTTCGTGCCTCAAATACGCATCAAACCAATTAACAAGAAACTACTACACTCAAGTTTGTCTTGCTTCTACTCATGTCGTGAAACAGACAACAAAGTTGTCTTCTTTTGATATCCCAAATTCATATATCTGTACAAGACCTTCTAATATCTTCCTAAATCTCAGATTCCTTGCCACTTCAGCTCAGGTACTCTTAAAAAAAGTCTCTCTCTTTTTTAGCACTGTGTGTTCTTCTATGCAACTTCTTAAGTCTTAGCTTTGATTTCTGCAATTTGCATATATTTATGGCTTTTCAATTTTGTTTTAGTTTGGTTAATTGGTCTTTCAATATGTTATTGTGGGATCGTTGCCTTTTAGATTGCTTTAGATGATGCGTATGGAAGATCTAGAACCCTGCAACATTTTTGTATTATATGGAATTCAACTACTTTAGATGTGTCGATGTTATTGTTTGTTGGAGTTTTCTTACGAAAGACGGTGTATATCTACAGTTTAAATTGTTTAGGTCTGTGATGTTTTTGGCAAATGGATGTTAGTGAGTGAGCAATGTTTTGGTTCAGAGCTGTTATATTGTAGTATGTACTATGATCTTGCTGTCAAAGTTGTTCTTAACTTTGTATATCCATGATCTTGTTCAAGACAAGGAAGAAGGATGCGGAAGTTGACTCTGATGGTCCACGTCTCAATGAGAAGATTACTGGCGATTATGTTAGATTAGTTTCCGAGGAAGGTAAATATCATTTCATTTTTCTCTTTTTTTCTGTGGAAAGTCTTAGATTGTACAAAAAAACGAAAGAGGAAGAGATCCTTTTTGTTAGTATTTTCGGTGAAGTATCTTTAGATGGAGTCAGTTGAAAATCCTTTGTTCTTGTAAATTTTATTAAAGAGGTGGGAAGTCCAAAATACAGCTTTAGAATTCATTAACAAAAATAAAAATTTAGTTAGAAGATTCTTATAATCAGGAATGTGTGATATCGTTTTGTGGTTATGCAGGACACTGTGTTGTATCGCTGAGAGAAGCTCTCAGACGGGCTAAGGAGCTCGAGTGTGACTTAGTTGAGGTAACTTGTTAGTTGGAAACATGAGTTCTTCTAGAAGTTGTGTCTAATGATTGCAACCGGATGTCTTTGCAATATCTTTCTGAATTTGTATGTATGATTTTGCATGGTGCCCCAATTTGTAATACAACTCCATGTGTCTCCTTTCTGAAAGAACTGCGGTAGTCGCCATTGTGTAATATCATTTCGTTGTCTACTTCTGGCTGCAAACTATAGCTCTCCAAATTAACTTCTGTTTTTTTTGGTCTTTAGACATCGGTGTTTCTAATGGTGCGATAGATGTCTGAAATATTTGTCATGAGGCTTATCTCTTAATATATTTCTAAATCTGTTTTCTTAGCTTGCTTCTCCTTTTCTTGTTGTCTTGTAGGTGCAGAGAGATGCTAAGCCACCTGTGTGTAAAATTGTAAAATACTCGTTGGAGCAATACAAAAAAGCTAAAGTAGGAAAAGAGCGTGCTAAGGCCAAGGTTGGTGATATGGCCTATCCATACTTCAAAATTCTCCTGCTTGTTTGTATTAAATACTAGTTGTGTTTGTGTCCTGAGTTTATGGTTTTACCTTGTTCTAGCGGGCTGAAGCTATTCGACCTGAAGTCAAGGAAATTCGGTTTACTCCAAAAATTGTATGGTTCTCTAGAAACACTTTATGTATCTCTTCTTCTTCTTATCTGTGTGGTAATGAAAATTCTACAATGACATTTTTGTTTCACTTTCTTTTTTTTTCAGGAGGCTAAGGACCTAAAGTTTAAATCTGATCAAGCATTGAAGCTGATGGAAAGTGGATATCGTGTAAAGGTAGTAATTTTCTTAGTCACTGGACCTCTTTATACTGGTTTCCCATAGACTTTCATGGGAAACTCCTGAAAAAGTGATTATTTTGCGAGTGTGTAAATTTATGTTTAACATCATAGCTGTTCTGTGATTGTGCGGTATAAAACAAAACCCCGGATGTATCGCTGCGATGTTCACCCTTGTTTTCCTTGATGAGAATCGATTCATTTATTACTCTTTCTTTCTTCTCTGTATTGTGTATCAGTGCAATGCAGTGCCTGACAAGGACAAGCATAAGGAACTTGAGCCAGAAAAGCTGCTTGAGTTATTATTTCGCTTCACTTGTTATGTAAGTTTCTACTCCTTTATGTCCTACGATTTCTTCTATTCGCAATTGTTTCCTAGTTTTATCATCCTTGTTTTTGTTTAAATCCTTGCGTTCATGTATATAACATCCATCCTTATCATAAATATATCTGTACAGATTGGGGATGCACTTGTGGAATTTGGGCCAGAAGCGGATAGAAAAAGCGCAGTTGTGATTGTTAGACACGCCAAGTTTGGCCCACCCAAGAAAGGAGGGGTGAAAAAGTTGAAGGATATTGACATAAAATCTGCTAGAGTGAAAGAAGAATCACCAAAGTCTGATAGCTCGGAGGCCGGAGAGTCTACTGTTGATTATCAGGGAGATATAGAGCAGTCTGAACCTGAGTTTAGTGTTGAGCAGGCTCAACCAGTTCAAGCCCAGAACACGTACGCAAAAAGAGAACCTGGCAGTGAGTTCTCAGGAGGTAGAGATGCAAGCCGGTTTGAACCTCGGTCTCCAAACCAGCATGTAAACCCACAACGTCCTCGGTTCCAAGCTCCAAATCAACAACCTACCGGGCGGTTTGATCCTCAGTCTCCAAACCAGCCTCCAAGTGCACCAAGGCCTCAGTTCCCAAACCAACAACCTGCAGGGCGGTTTGATCCTCAGTTTCCAAACCAGCCTCCAGGTCCACCACGGCGTCAGTTCCCAGACCAAGCTCCAAATCAGCAACCTACAGGGCGGTTTAATCCTCAGTTTCCAAACCAGTCTCGAAGTCCACCACAGTCTCCGTTCCCAGACCAAGCTCCAAATCAGCAACCCTCTGGGCCATCTCCAAACCGCCACATAGACCGGCAAGGTCCTCCACCTCGATTTCAAAACCAAGCTCCAAATCAACAACCTACTGGCCGGTTTGAACCTCAGCCACCAAACCCGCCCCGAGCTCCACCACGTCCACAAACCCGGTTGCCAAACAAAACCCCAAACCAACAACCTACGGCCCCTGGAAGATCTGGTGGCCCGGCATCAGGTTATGGGATTTTCAGCACCCCAAAAACGAAGTAGAACAACCAATTTATTGAACACGTAGAGTTGCAAAATTTTTGTGATACTTTACTTAGGAGATTTGTTCATGGCTCATTATTTTATCTGTAACTAATAATAGTCCATGCATACACATACACTTGTAGCCCTCATTCAATTTTTGTTTAGTCACCACCACTCTCAATAATCTATGAACAACAAGATTACAAGTAGTTTCAATGTCAATTAAAGATGGTTTTGCGAAACGGTAAATGAGTTATACGGAGAGGTATATGTGGACAGAGAGAGTGCCGCGAGAGGAAGGACTTGGAGTCACCATGTTGAGAGAAAGGAACAACAAGCGAGCTTGTAGGAAAAAACTGAATGTACACTGGAGGAGTAAGAGGAGAGAGTGATGCAGCTACAAAAGGCTTGAAACTCATGTTGATATTGCTCCATAACTCTCCACTATGGCCACATTCATAGATGATGCATCATCATCAACCATCACTATGGCTACAAATAATGATGATGCATCATTATCATCCATCACTATGGCCACAAAATTCATCCATTATGCATCATGTTCCTTCTTTTCAAGTAAGCCAAATCAAATCAACTAGCTTACACATGGTAACATGGAATAATGTTTTTAGAATGAATGACATTTTCATAATGTGACTATTTTTTATAAATCTTTTATTTCTTTTGTTGTGGAACTGCATATGTCTTCCAACGATAGGGATCGTCACTTTCACTAAATTAGAATATTGGGTAAATGCTTAAATATAGACCACACAATTCGCGAACGTGCTTTGACATAATCACCAATTTACTACTGTTGTGGTATTGTAATGACTCTTCAAAACATAAAAATCATTATTTTAAAGGAATTGTTCTTTATTATAAGTTTATAAATAGTGCTACACTTCTGCACTGCACTATGCAACATCTTACACATATTCCACCCATGCTCGATATATTTGCGACACGTGAATTTAGCTTTCCAAAGAAATAAAAAGATGAGACTTAAAATCTTTAATGTTTTTGTTTTTTGCTAAATTTTTTTTTAATGTTTTGAAGTATTGGTGTGGAGTGTGGAGTATGAATAACATAAGCCGGCAAAGAAAAAAAAGAAAGAAACAACATCATTCATGTAATCAAATCGCATTTTAATACAACTTTTTGTAGACAATTCCGGAAAAGTTGACATGTTTTGATTTTATACACAAGAAAATATATTGTTAGTTGCCCACGTTATGAAATATAGATTATTTAAACATTGTGATAAAGTAATAAAAGAATGTAGAATTGGAAGTGATATATCGTTTTTGGAATTAAGGTTGTTAAATTTTAATATAAATGGTTAAATTCCACTTTGTCTTAAAAAGGAGTTGATGTGATTAGAGACATAGACACTACAGTTAGAGAGGTTCCCACCACTTTTGTTGGTGTTATCATATTTGCCCACTTTGTCTAAACAATTACTCCTTTTTGTTCTTCTCTTATTTCTTAAAATTGGATTTGAACACTCCTACTACCTCTTTTTCTTTTCTCATATTGATCCGTTTTTTTTTTTTTTTTTTTTTTTTGACACAAAATGAAGCCTGTTTTCTTGTTTCGTTTAAACGACACATATTTTAAAAATACATAGAAAAGTCAAATAGAAATTCGCATGTGTTTTATCGATAACTATATGTTTTTTTAAAACAATATGCCGTTTAAATTTGAGTAATCACCAAAAACGAAGCTATATGAATCATAAGAGGTTAGATGACACCAATAAAATTATGGAAATCAAAATTACCATTAAAAAATGTTAAATACTCCATTTTGTTTGCTAAGTTGATTTGGTCTGAGTGCCCACTGCCCACAGGCTCTTTCAATTTTCAGTTTCGCCTTCTTTTTTTTTTTTCCTACTTTTTAGGTTATTCTATGGTTACATTTTATATTTATACAAATGTTATTTTCGATAATGATTTCTTTCCTTTGCTTTGTTTTTTCTCCTTTTGGCGACAGTTTTTTTTTCTCTTTCTTGATTTATTGTTGGTTACATTTTGACGACAATTATATTCTTTTTCTTGATTTCTTGATTTTCTTACTTACCATTTTGGAATTATTGTTAACAAAAAATACCAAAGATTAGTTTTAGAGGTTTTATTTTTAAATTTTTGTTTGAAAATATTTCCAGTTTTATGCCCTATTATTTTAATATATGAACTAATAAAATATTTTGCGTTATGTATTATTAAAAAATAAAAATAAAATTTAATTATTTTTTAATAAGTGTGAGAATACTTAAACGATATTTAAAATGAAACGGAGGGAATATTGTTTAGATATATTACTACTCCAATAAAAATCCTTTTGATTCTATTATCGATGATGATGCATTAATATAACTAATAAACTGTATGCTATCATGGTTAGAGTCTCAAAGACTTATAATGTTTATAGATAAAAATTTTGTTTGGTATTCTCTCTGTTTTTTTATAAGTGATGTTTTAAGTTTTTAATTTAGTTTTTAAATAGATGATGTTTTCGAAAATGAAAATGAATTAAAGAGCATTAACTTTATTAAGTTAAAGTTTGGGGTCGTAAGTATCAAGAAATGCCAAAGTGTTAATAAAGGTAACACATTGGTTTTGAAAATGGCGAATGGTGGTGCTATTAACGGTGACACTCTTTAATTAGCTCATAAGGGATTTAGCATGTGGGAATCTTGTGTTTCCCAATCAACGATCCATTTTTTTTTATTAAAGATAATTTATTTTAACGTAGAAAGTTCATTACTAGTATTCAATTTTGGCCTTCCAACGAGTGCATGAACGAGAGAACCTTCGTGGCAGGTGACTCCACTTGGCTGATGTAATTTAATTTGGAGATTCCTCAAAATTTAAGTAACTTTATCCTTTTATTAATTTTCTTTGTTTGAAAGTGGCTTTATTCCTCTATTCAAGAAATTCATTCTTTGGTAATTTCGATATCTATCCAGATTTTTAATATAGTTAATAGTATGATCATAATATCTGTTGGAGAAGAACCTAAAGGCTGATTGTTTTGTGTTTGGTTTAAAAGAGAAAATATGTTTGAAAACTATTTGCAACTGTTCTAAAATACGGTGTACTCGACGTATATACAGTATATATGCGCGGTATAATGCAAATGGCTCCTTTTAGTTTAATATAATGTTGTTGACAAAAATGAAGGTAAAAGCTATATGATCTATCTATATATACATTTTTGGATCACAATTAGCAAATAAATCCTGAAGTTGAGAAGTATTTACAATGACATGCCATTAGCATTAATTATTTAGATTTATTTTATTTAAATAAAGATTTTGAAATCAAATATGTTCTCAACAATTTACCAAAAATCTCTACTCAATCTTTTTAAAAATCTTGACTTAGTTAACTTCTGATTTTTATCTGCAAAAAAAATAAAATAATTGTAACGAGTGATGTAAAAATCGGGAATGTTGATACTACAATTTCTTCTACTTCTTTTTTTTTTTTATATAATGAAAATTATTTTTTAGAGATATTTTCTTAAAACTCTAAACAAAACAAAGGGTTTCAAAAGATAGCTTCTCTTTTGGCGGGTCGACCCGCAAACCCGCAACTCTCTACGGGCTTATCCGCATGAACCTGCGACCCGTAGTGGATAAAAATATTATTAAAAAAATAACAAATGATGTTTAATTTTACGGGACGGGGTTATATGGTGCAACAGGTTTAGATCAATATTAATATTAAACAATATACTATGGATGAAATCCTAGAATTAAAAATCAAAATTTAATTATAAAATCAGAAACACTAAACAAAATAAACAATATTAACAAAACAAATACAACTTAAAATTTTGCAAAATAATTTTTTAGTTATAAAAAAATCGACCCGCGGTGTACCGCGGGGTAAAATCTAGATTTGGAAGTTTAAGGAAGGAAATTTTTTTTTAAAAAATAATGGCTCCACGGTGTACCGCAAGAAAAATCTTTCTCCTAAACTGAGGCAAGAAGAAGAAGAAAACCAAATGTCGTTTAAGTGTATATATAGATATACCATTTAAACCTAAAACACAATTAATATACTCAAAACTATTAATATAGACATATAGATGGTACATTTATAAAATAGGTCGAAATATTATAGTATACTCTCTATTAATAAACAAAAATAATTATATTTAGATTTTTTAAAAAATAATTATAACCCCGCGGTGTACCGCGGGTTCAAATCTAGTATATATATATACGGTTATTATAGTGTGTATATACGGTGAATTCCACATATATATTATTTTTTAAAAAGGCTTAAAACAAATACTAAAGAAAACAATTTAACAAAACTATTAGTTTGGCTCTGAAAAACTGAACCATAAAAATAAATACAAAATAGCTTTATTATTATTTTTCTATTATTTTCATGCTTATTAGTTATTTAAAATTTTAAATATATTTTATAAAAGCGAAAATTTTAACTTTTTTTTTTGTATTCATATAGTATTCAATATGATTATTTATAATGTTTTATTGTTATTATTATAATTTTGTAATAATCATATATGCATACTTTGAATAATTTTATATCTATATTTTTTTTAACATAAAAATATCTAGCGTATAGTCTCCGCATAAATGGCCATATTACGTATATACGCTATACGGTGGTCTGCCATACGCTTAGCGTATAGTGTATTTTAGAACACTAGTATTTGTGTATATGAAAAAACAGTTGAAATGATTATTTTTTATATTCGTATTTACATGTTTATACATATACATGAATATATATATATATATATATATACATTGCATATAGAATCATAATTTTAGTCACATCAATAAATTAGATAAATGCTGTGGATAAAACAAATTAGATAAATTCTTTTTTTTTTATTAGATAAATTCTGAAATAAGTACTATTTAAAAATCCAGTCAAGTGTTAGATTCTAAAGTAGATTGAATCTTGAAAGAATGTAGCAGACTCCACTTTGGAAGTAAAATAGATTTACTTTCATGTGGATAGTATTTTTTGGGAGTTAAATATTAACTCCAACTCCAAGATGTAAAATTTTACATGAACTATGTTGAATATTCTTTTTGACGGGATTAATTATCAGGAGTTTGAAACAAATAATTTAAAATTATTTAAAATTATAGCAATTCTCTAATAATTATTCCGATCTCTCACAATTTTTAGATATACTGTATTTGGTTTGATGTGAAACAAATTTAGTAATTTTTTTTAATATTTTCATCTCTCATTACTCCAATTTGGAAGCAAAATATTTGTTTACTCCTATATTATGATATTAACCTTATAAACTATTTTCCACCAATTTTGAACATCCAAATTGTAGAAGAATGTTGTTAAAAATTGTTAAATAACTCTAGTTGAAATAAAACAAAAATTTAATGCACATTATTCAATTTCGAAGTAGCCAAGTCAAATAAGCAAAAATGAAGCGCATGGACAGACAGAAAGAGAAAGAGAGATAAGACGAATAAATATTTAAATAACTACACGACTAACTATTCTGTGGACCCCACCACACCTCTCTAATCGTCTTCGTCAAAAAAATTTCCAATAAATCAACGGCTCCGATTCATCGTCACAGTGTTTAATGCGATAAATACACCGTCCGATCTAATAGATACCTTTCGATAACAAAACAAATGAACGGCTGAGATGAATAGGTTGACTTTACTATATCATATCGCCATCGATTTATTTTTTCTGATAAATCAACGGCTGTGATACATCGTTACCGTGTTCGATGCGATAAAACGAGTAAACACCGTTGGATCTAATCGATACCGATCGTTATATAATTTGAACGGCTGAGATTAAAGAGTTGACTTAACATAGAGTAGATCAGAAAGTGGAGAGCACCATTTGCTAATAAACATGAGCCCCGCTCAATCGCTGCTGCTTCCTCCTCTCTGTCTTTATCATCATCACTTTCTCTATCTATCTCTCTTCTTTTTAAGCGGCCATTGGACCTCTCCAAGTTCCATCTCAAGCTTTTCTTCTGGTGATTTCAATCTCTCTTTTCTATTTTGTATTGATTTAGTTAATTTTGATGTTTGTGAGTTTCATATTTGTTGTAGCTGATTTGATTTGTGAAACTATGTTTTTATCGTGTTTTGCTTTTGATGAAGCGGTGTTTGATTTAGGGTTTTATATTGTTGTCGGTGATTTGTGAATTGATGATTTTGAGTTTTTTTTTTTGTTTTCTTTGACCGTTTTGTTTTTGGATCTTAAGAGTGGTGTGGGAAGATTTTTCTTTTTTTTTTTTTTTTTGTTGTGTTAATTCCGATTATTTGTGTTAAATTTTGAATCTTAGTTATGGAATTTGATTCTGTGAAGTGTGTAAGAACTTTGAGCTGGTCCTAATTTTGATTCTGACAAAAGATTTTTTTATTTTTTTTCTTTCAAATTTGGGTCGTTTGAAGAGGAATATACAAGAGTATACAAGCATGAATTATTGATTTTGATTCTTATGTTTTTTGTAGGTTTTTGTTGTTTTCTTAATTGAAAATCAAAAGGTGAATACAGGATCTTGAAAAAAAAAATGGAAACTGAAGATGATTTGTGCAACAACAATTGGGGAAGTTCTTCTTCAAAGTCGCGGGAGCCGGGTTTATCAGACGGTGGGAACCAGACTTTTGCAGGTTTTGCGTCGCAGCAGAAGTGGGAAGATGCTTCAATCTTGGATTATGAGATGGGTGTGGAGCCTAGTTTGCAAGTTTTCGACGAAATGAAAGCTTCGGGGCAAGCTAATGTTGATTTCCTGCAAGGCGTTAGGGCGCAAGCGTGGGATCCGAGGACGATGCTGAGTAATCTTTCCTTTATGGAGCAGAAGATTCACCAGTTGCAGGATCTTGTTCATCTGCTTGTTGGTCGAGGTGGGCAGCTTCAAGGTCGTCAAGACGAGCTTGCGGCTCAGCAGCAGCAGCTTATAACGACGGATCTTACTTCTATAATCATACAGCTTATTTCAACTGCAGGTAGTCTTCTTCCATCTGTTAAGCATAATATGTCAACAGCGCCGGGTCCATACACTGGGCAGCCCGGTTCAGCCTTGTTCCCTTATGCAAGGGAGGCTAATAACGTTGCTTCACAGAGCCAAAACAATAACAACTGTGGTGCTCAAGAGTTCGATTTGCCTAAGCCGGTTGTTGTTGATGAGAGGGAAAGCCATGTTGTGGAGGAACATGAGATGAAAGACGAAGATGATGCGGAGGAAGGAGAGAACCTTCTTCCGGGTTCGTACGAGATATTGCAGCTTGAGAAGGAGGAGATTCTCGCACCGCATACTCACTTCTGCACAATATGTGGCAAGGGTTTTAAGAGAGACGCGAATCTGAGGATGCACATGAGAGGGCATGGAGATGAGTACAAAACAGCAGCTGCTCTTGCCAAACCGAACAAAGAATCCGTACCCGGGTCTGAACCGATGCTGATCAAGAGGTACTCATGCCCATTCCTGGGTTGTAAACGGAACAAGGAGCACAAAAAGTTCCAGCCTTTGAAAACGATTTTATGCGTGAAGAACCACTATAAACGCACCCACTGCGACAAAAGCTTCACTTGCAGCCGGTGCCATACCAAGAAATTCTCTGTCATTGCGGATCTGAAAACCCACGAGAAGCACTGCGGGAAAAACAAGTGGCTCTGTTCCTGCGGTACAACATTTTCAAGGAAAGACAAGCTCTTTGGTCACATTGCTCTGTTCCAGGGACACACGCCTGCGATCCCTCTTGAAGAAACAAAACCTTCAGCCAGTACATCCACTCAGAGAGGGAGCTCTGATGGTGGGAACAACAACCAAGGAATGGTTGGCTTCAATCTCGGTTCTGCATCTAATGCTAACCAAGAAACCGCACAGCCTGGAATGATGGATGGGAAGATAAGTTTTGACGAGTCTTTCTCGCCGATGAACTTTGATACATGTAACTTTGGAGGGTTCCACGAGTTTCCACGACTGATGTTTGATGATTCCGAGAGTTCATTTCAAATGCTTATTGCGAATGCATGTGGTTTCTCGCCTAGGAATGTCGGTGAGTCTGTTTCAGATACTAGTCTCTAAGGCATTTCCATATATGATATGTAAGATGTTCTAGTTTTTAGTCTTTAAGCAGCTCTTTTGTGTCTGTAATTTTGTTTTCGCCAGAATAATATTAGGATAGCAAAAAGTAGATTTCCTTAATATAAGAAAGTTGGATTCTTTTTTTTTTTTACTTACCTATTATGGTTCATATTGATTATACCAACTATGTCCATAGACCATAGTCTGAAAACATAACTGATTATCTCTCATGAAACAACAAATTGGATTCATATCTATTGAAGTATATTACAAAATCAGATATGAACTACAATTTTGATGATAAATTTTCAAGGTCACAAAAACTTGCTATCAGCTAAGATGCGATGGTGTGCTTGAGCTTCTCAGTATTATCCATGCAAGGTTGAGAAGAAGCTTGACAATACTTCTGCATCATTGCTTGGATCTCTCTCCACCAGCCATTCCTCTTGAATCTCTACCCTCACATCTCTATGATAATAGATTGATTACAGAATCAGCAAGAATATCTTACAAGTGATGCATAATTAAAATGAAGGGATTTAAAATGAGAAAGATAGAACCTTTTCAAGGCAAGAACTTGATAGTTTCTTCTCAAGTAATCTGCGTATTTCGTAAGAGCCTCTTGAGCATATGGTCTCCCCACGGTTCTTACAGCTGCTGCGCTTAGTAAACTCTCCAGAGAACCATGTTTTCTCACAAGTTTCATCGCTGTTTTCCTTCCAAACGCAGGGACCACGTGCTGAATGCCTGGAACTCCATCAACTTCATCACCCATTATACATCCTATCACAAAATTCATAGTCCTGATTAATATAACCAAGAACCAAAAACGCAGATTATTTTTCTGGCTAATATATCTGCATCGAGTTGGTTTTGACACTTAAGCAAAACTGCACAGAAAGACAAGCGTTGAGAGAAGTCGATTTAGGTACTTACTAAAGCTCAAATCAGACTGTGGATCACAGTTATATTGAGCATGGTAGTGTTTCAAGGTATAAAAGGACCATCTTCTGAGATCTGCCAATGGAATGACAATCTGAACATTTTCTGAGATCAACTGCTTAAAGTCTTTGTCAGGCGATGCAATAACCGCACGATATCCTCTTTGCACAGCTTGTTCCATCAGCGTCGCCACTACATCGTCTGCTTCATGCCCGTCTAATCTAACAACCTAGCTCACAAACAAGATTCCAGTCAGATCATTCTATGGCTAATTCAAATAACTGTGATCCACTACTAATCCACTTAACTATATCCAAGAGACAGAATTGAGCTAGTCTATTGAAAAATTGAGTATAAATAGTTTTACCCACTGGCACATTGCATTTCCTAAGAACTTCATCAACGAACTGATGTGGCCTCTTAGAGTATCTCCCAGGATTTGGTGATTTCCTATGAGCTTTATATGAAGGCAACAATTCTCGGCGTCTCTGGTTACCTTCTTCTCCATCGATAACCTACAACAGGAACTATCTTTCATTGATCAAAGAAGAGAAAAGACTTGTCACACGTGGAAGAATCAAAGAAAAGGAGAGATTTTTATACAGCTATGACAGGATCAGTGAGGCTGACTTGAGACAAGAAGAGTGAAATCCAGTGACCAAAAGCTTGTGAACTGGGTTTGTTTCCTTCGTAGCAAAGTGGACTAACGTCTAAGAAGAAAACCCTTTTGTTCTTCTTCCCACAGATAACATCTTTCTGAAGAACTTGCCCATAACCTGTTCGATGAAATGTCTCAACGGAAGAGGACGACGAAGGGGTAGACGAGAAAGAAGACGAAGAGACCCATTTGGTTCGTGAAGTTTGTGGCTTGTCGATGGATTTAGTTGAGAAGGAGAAGAGAGAATTGGGTTGAGCAAATCCTACTGTTATCATCGTCTTCAACCTCTCTGCGTCTGTTCTACGAGAATACAAGTCAATTAATTAAATTATCCATAGTCGTTTGTTATTCGTTTTATTTTCTGCTGGATGATTTTATATAAGAGATTATGCTTTACGTAATGGGCCGTATAATGGGCTTTAAGTGGGTAGTCTCAACGATATCATCACCATTTGCTAACTAAGATGATGTGGAACTTTTTGTTCGGTGATTGGTCAAAAACATTGTTTCAAAATCCGGTAGGCGATAGTCGGACGTTTGATATAGGTCTAGCGATTAATCAGAAAATTAGATTAAAATCAGAGATTAATCGAGAACTAGTTTTAGAGTTATTTTAACATTTTAAAAATAAATTAATTTAATATTGTTTTCAAAATTGCAGTAAACACATAAAAATATAGTTTAAAACAAATTTTTATGATTTTGTATTAAAAATTATGATTTTTATTACAATTTGAACACAAATTATTGTAAAACATTACAGACAATTCCAATTCAAATGTTTCAATAAAAAGAAGTTGTTTTATATTTGCAATAAAAAAATAATCGGGATATGTAAAAATATGCGGAAAATAATCGGATTAGGCGGAAAATAATCGGATAACTGATTTTTTAAAGGGATTAGTCATTAATCGAGGCGGAGAGGATTGACCTAGCGATTAAGCTGGAAATAATCGGGCTAGGCGGGAATTTCAGAACAGGAGTCGAAAGTATTAACTAAGGCAAACTTATCGGATCGGAGAAGTCTATATACAAGTAAAGATTGTTTTTTTTTTGGAATATGTTGCAATATAGTACGTTTCCCAAACTTAATTGTGAAACTAGTACCGTTACTATTTATAATTTGGTGAAAGAGAGAGTGTGAGAGAGAGAGAGTGTCAGACGTGTGAGAGAGAGTGTGAGTGTGAGAGAGAGAGTGTGGGTCAGGGTTTTTTTTTTTTTAATTTCTTTTTCTTGGAAAGAAAAAGTATGCGAGTGTGAGAGAGTGTGGATCAGGTTTTTTTTTAATTAAATTTATTTTTCTTTCTTTATTATACTTCATTCCCTCAAAGTTTAATAATTAAAATACTCGTTCGTAAATTTTATTTTTCAAAAATTGATCATATACATAAAAATCTATGTTTTTTTCTCTATCATTTGATATGCATTTTGTTTTATAATTTTTAAAATTTATATTACCGAACACTATACAAATCTATTTATATACAGATACAAACCATTGTACAGATATAGATCACTGTACAGATATAGACTACTGTACAAATATATACCACTGTACAGAAGAGCACTATACAGAATACCACTGTACATATACATATATAGACCACTGTACAGATATAGACCACTGTACAGATATAAACCAGTGCTCGTTAATATTTGTAATGTAATAATATTTACGTGGG